GGTCTTGCCAGTATCTTCAGTGAGATAACCAATGACTGAGACGCATCCGGTGAATTCCTGCCTGGCTTGATGTCCCCACTCAGATGTGTCTGAGGAGGGAAAACACACACACAAAAAAAACCATGTACTTTTCCTTGGATTTGGGTATACACAGTACAGTGTTTGGCTTTTCAGGGGCAACCCAGAAAGCCAACTGATCCTGAAGAGTTTTGCTACCTGGTTACTTAGGCTGGGTTCATTCTTTTGAGTTTGTCCCTTGGGAAGAAGGATTATTTGTAAGGACATCTGGACAGTAGAGAGAGGAAGAAAAAAAAAAAAAAAAGAGGACAATTGTCCCTGCATGTGGGAGAGAAAATAACATTAGCTCAGGTGAACAATGTGGTTTCATGTATTGCAGACTGATCCCTGCAGAAGGGCGTGTTGGAAATCAGCACGTGAGGACAGAAAGTGCTGCATTATCTCTACTCTAAAATAATTAATCAATATTTACGTGTTCCCTTTGCATTTATTTTCAAGTTGGTGTTAGTAGAACGCAGATGAAGAGTTTGACTATTCAAGTCTGGAATCTGAAATGATTATTTAAGACCAGCAGCAACACGCTGCACATTTTTGCGATAGAGAAATTTCCCATGACACCAGTCCCTGGAGAGAGCTATGAACAGATTGATGAGACACTCCCAGGGATAACATTTTTAATATGGGCTGCGGGAATAACTCTAGAACCAGCTGGAACTCTTTTTGCATTAGAAATATGCCTATATCATGATCCTGATTTGTGGTTCCACAATGAATAAACAATAAGCAGACTGTTTCAGTAGAACTTCAGTAGAACTGTCTCCAGTATGGAATTTTAGAATTACACTCCTAGCCTGTGTCTGCAATGCTGTGCTAATACTATCTTGGTGAAAATGGTGTGCTTTACGTGGTGGAATTACATGTGTCCTTGATTCCCTGTCCCAGATGGGATGTAGATGATACGACTGCACGTGGGCTGGACTCTAACTCTGAAATCACAATTCTAACTCTGGCTAATCATCCATTGAGCAAAACTCCAGGCTACGTCCCACCCTGTAAAAAAACTGTCCAGTAACGGGCTAAACCACCACAACTGTCTAAAGACTTTTTCTGGTGATCATACAAGTGGGTTTGAGTCCATGACTGGAAAAAAGATGCAGAGAGAGGATCCTGGGGACAGAAGCAGACAGATTGCCAAATTGTACCGGTCATGCCTCTTGTGCATACTCAATATTCATGCAAGTGTTTTTAGTAAAACTCCATGCTCCACTTGCTCTCTGAAAGCATGTGATACCCGTTGGAAACAGCCATTGCAGCTGGCTCACCTCCCAGCTGATAAATAGAATATGGGGGTTGGGAAGCACAGGAAGTCCACAATCAAATGCAGAAATCAGGAACAGATGTCAGGAAAGTTTCATCATTTTTTCCCAGGATATGCACACCTTTCACAGCAGGGTAATCAGGACTAGCCAAGATAACACATGTTTTCTTACTAGGCAAAATTCTTGCTGATTATGCAAGGTTACTTCAGCTACCTAATCGGAGCAAGAGTCCCTCACACGTGCCTAGCCAGTTCACCAACAAGGTCCATGGCAGGATGAGGAAGAGGAGGTGGAGTGATGTGGTAGTGATGGAAGGTAAGCATTGCTGACCGATCAGTGGTTCCATGTCCTGCATCCTCTCGTCATTGTCTACCAGAGCTAGAATCTTAAATGGTCTGTGTATCTCCTAGCTGTGCTCCCATCCTCCTCCCCACCACAATTTTGGACACTAACCCAACCCAGAAACTAGTATTACAACAACATACTTACCAGAACTCTACACCTTGACTGTGACAAAATTCAGGGCAGTCCTACAGCATACAATTGGGTAGTTGAACTACTGCAGATAGTCACCAGCCTGTAATTCTTAGGGAGCATTGGATCTAGTTGGAAGGCCCTTCCTTGTCAGACTCAGCACCTGGAGAATCCACAACCATAGAGGCCTGGCTCTAGAGCGCCTCCTGCAATTTTCTTAGGGCAGTCCCAGTCCTGAGAAAGGGACATGACCTGCTACAAAGTACTTGGTGCCCTTTTTGGCACAGGTCTCATCCAAGTTCTCACGAAAAAAATCAGGTGTGGCAAGCTGTTCCAGAAAGTCAGCTGCATCTTGGATTTAGAGACAGGCTGCTCTGGAGTCTTGGAAATATCAGCGTGCGATTCCTGTGAAGTCCAGAAGTATCCTAGAAAGGATCATATCCCAGCATAATACAGCTTAGCAACAGCAAAGCTGCACTACCAGTAAAGTACCTTTTTCAAGTTTTTCACACCAGAAACTGGCGGACTGTGTTGCAGACTACTGCAGGAAGTGTTCTGCAGGAGAACACTGGGTGTGGTATAGCACACTTTAGTGAAGAAACATAGGTGCAACACATAAGACCCTGCTGTAACACCCTGGGAGAATGAAAGCAGGCTAGTGCATGCTGGTTGGGAGCAACAGCATGAATCCTACTTAAAGGTACAGAACTTGAGTACAGCGCAACATCCCAACATACCCTTGTCCAAGCTTCTCCATGAAGCTCCAAAATCACTCCAGAGCAAACTACAGAGGAAACCTATAGATGAGTAAGCATGGATAACTGGAGAGCTAGGGCTTCGTGTATCCTGTGGGATGCAAGCTAAGATATATAAAAGATACAGCCACCTTTAAGTGTTCTAATCTTTCTTCACTGGCTGTTTAAGAAAGCTGAGTTCCTCACCTACATGCTCTGAATTACTGTGATCCAGCCATCTAACTTTTAAGACAGTGCAATGCCTGACGTACACATCTCAGTAAAGCCTCCAACAGAGCAAGACACGCACCACACTTAAGCCAACACCACACACTGAGCATCTTTCATATATTAAAATTATTTTCAACTCACTTGCTCTTCCTGCTAGGGAAGTCTGGGGAGCTTGGACTGGACGATCCATCAGACTTCAGGTCCAAGAAACTTCCTGGACTGTCCAGCACCTTCTGTATCCTTTCTGCAGTGTCTCTGCTGGGAGAAAAGAGAAGCCAACTATATCCCAGGGCCAGAGTTAACCACTATTTATTCTAAAACTTCCTGACAAGCCACAATAGAAAGCTGGATCTCTCATATACATAGGAAAGGGAAGCAAATGCAGTTGTATTGCAAAGGGCAGTCTTTTTAAATGTGACCTGTTGAAGGCAATATATTAGAAATGGCCAACTTTAAGTTCCATTTGAATTGATATAAAAGCCTATATTAATTTCAGTATTCTCCTTTAATTCTTCATCTTTTTCTTCTACCCTCCCCATTTCATTGGTCTTAAGAAGCTTTAGGATTGATTAGACCTTATATACTTATTGCATAAAGAAAAATGATTCAGCAAATTTCCCTGTTTCAGGATGGTTACAATAGTTTTATTTCTTCTAACACTTGTCAAGGTATTCTGAAGAAAGCTTTCTCTGTGAGTAACTGAAAAGTGGGGTATGTTTAATCAACTCAGTTTTTTTGCTGGTGGGTTTTTGGTTTTTTTTGGGTGTGTGTAGACCTTATATACTTATTGCATAAAGAAAAATGATTCAGCAAATTTCCCTGTTTCAGGATGGTTACAATAGTTTTATTTCTTCTAACACTTGTCAAGGTATTCTGAAGAAAGCTTTCTCTGTGAGTAACTGAAAAGTGGGGTATGTTTAATCAACTCAGTTTTTTTGCTGGTGGGTTTTTGGGTTTTTTTGGGTGTGTCTTCAGTGATGGGGTTCACAAAGTTCCTCTTCTGCTCACTTGGTCAGTTGATCCTACCTGTACCCCTCACACCACAGTTCCTCATCCCCTCACCTGTGCTAATACAACTATTTGTAAGACAGGAAATTATCCTGACAAAACCCAATCCTGAAACTAAACCAATCCTGAACCTTCGATGACACATGAACAAGCAGGATGGACAGGGTCAGCTCGGTCATCAAAGCCTGCATATCATTCAACTACAGCTTCGGGGTGAAGTCACACATGACACATTGAGCTCACTGTTGCCAGACAGAGGCCCTGCTCTAGCTTCCTCCATTCTTGCGGAGTGTGCTTTCTATCAGTCCTGCTACCCATCCAACTTCCCCGTGAGCCAGTTCACGGCAGAACCTGGCAGACAATTAATCCAATGAAAGAAGGTTGATACTTTTTCTGTTAGATTAACGGGCTGAATCAGTTGCATGCAGGGCTCACTAAGCCTCTCAGCCACCACAAGGAACAGGACAGGATTGGGTAGTGAAAAGAGACACTGGGCAGGGAAAAGTTTGATGTCTGCTTTTCAGTAGCAGTGAACTGCTAGAACAGACCAGTTGCTAGTGAAACTGCACCTCCAAGAATTACCCAAAAAGTCTTTCACAAAACACAAGGTAAGGCTCACTGTTCCTTATATCTAAAATTACAGATAAACAGAAGGAAATCTAAATAAACACAACAAGTCACCAATCCCCTTCCAGCGAAGAGCGGGGCAAAAAAACCTTCCAGGGTTTTTCTGTGTTGTAGAAACCTTTTAGAGATCTTTTAAGGAGATAGTGAAGAATGTGGGACACAAAGTAACAGACTGAGGGGCACAGCTGCCTAACATACAACACTAGTGAGGAGCTGGGGTTACTGTGTCAACTTAGACTGTTACAAGGAAGTTGTTTCCGGAGATTTTACTTTCCTCAAAGAAAGTTCCATACCATTTTTATTCCCCCTAGGTCATAGGCACCTCATAAGGAAAAGTTTCAAGAGAATAACTGGAAAGAAGTGGAAATGTAGTAATTCCTCCTGTTGTAAAATCACTAGTTTCCACATTAAAGATGACTTTTCCCCTTTTACGCTCTTCAAGCTGTTTCCTAGAATTCTTGCAATGAGGAAACCTGTGTATTAGATGCAGCAGGCATGTGACTTTTGTGATTCTTTATTATCTTAAAAAGGTGTCTCAGCTAGAGCGGAGACAAATTCATTGATTTAACCAAATAATCTCCTGTGACCAGTAGACAACTTTTGAATGGTTATAATGCTGTCAAATATGCCAAATCACACTTTGAACCTGTACGTTACCCCTTAATTGTAATTATTTCTCCAGCCATCCAAGTTAAACACTAGTTGTTTTTACTTAAAGCTTAAAAAAAAACCCAAACAAACAAAAAAAACCCTACTTTTTTTTTAAAGATCCTGGAAGTTTTGTCTAATTGAAGATTTTAACATGAAAACAAACCAAGCACCCACTTCCCTCTTCCCAAGTAAAAGCATTTCATCTGTCTTAGCTAAGCGTGGTGAATACAGAACATGAAAACCAAGAGTCCTGGATCGTACTGCACAGTGTTTCACCTTTCTTTCACAATGAGCCACCTTACTATGTTCCTCCACCCACCTCCTCCCTTCTTTCTCAAATATTGATTCTCCCCATTTCCTAATGTCCTTTTTTTGGTTTGTTTGTTTCTGTCAATTGTCCGTTTCTCCATTAGCTGATAATCAGGCTTTCCTTCCCATTCAAACCATTTCCATTTCGGTTCTCATTCATGTCAATTCCCTTCCTGTCCTCATTTGAGTCTTTCTACCTCCCTGTCCTCCTCTCCTCCTGATTTTTCCTGTCTTTGCTTCATCTTCGTACAGCTCATACCTCTTTTCCTCCTGTATGTTCTCAATGCCAATGGCACTACTCCGTCGCCCATGGAAGCGGCTGACTCGAGTATGGGATGGGCTCCTACCAGGCAAGGCAAAAGACTAGAAAAAAGGAAAGTGTGACAGAAAGGAGGGAGGGGAACAAGACAGGAAAAATTGTGGAGAACTGGAAGCATGGGAGAGGGAGTTCGATGTGGATCCAGATCCTCTCCTTTACAATACAATAGCATGGTCCAGCTCCAACAGTGCAAGACGGAGTACTTTCTGTCAGCGAGAAAGAAAAGCTAGGGCTTACAAAGGTGTACGGGAAAGAGAGAGAGAGAAACAAAGGCAAAACAAGATACACAGCCAGTATCAGAGGTTCAGGAAGGGAGGTATCCCTATATGATGAGAGAAGTAGAGGCAGAATCAGAAAGGTAGAGAAAACTAGAAGTTAAAGGAGAGAAGGAGGCAGGAAACCCAAGTCATTACTATTCTTTGACTTTGTTGTGCTGACATAAAGAATGCATACAACTGAGCAAACTGTCACCATGAAATTTTCACACAGAAAGGCACCTTCTTGGCTTAGTCCAAGATGGTTTTTGTATTTTGCCTGTATTGACATCACTAGTGCAGAGACCACAATCAGCTGGATGCATTTTGGCCAAGGTAACCATATTTCCAGTATCAGAAACATCTCTGGAAACATTTGTCATGGATTTATTACGGTGACACTGCTGACATACGTTTACTAGTGCTATCAAATAAGATCATCTCTGATAGTGACTAGAAATATTCATTCTTTTTATCACTTCATTAATTCCCCTGCTTGTTCCCAAGATGCAAAGTCTATTTACAGCACAATAAACACTGTGCACCCGTTTATGTCACAGAAAAGAATACGATCAGTGAAACTGAAGAAAATAGATCTAGTGTCCTTATGTTCTCAGCTCCCGCCGTATGACAACACAGTACCATTCTGGTCAAACTACAGTGCATGCAGTTTTTTAAGGAATGGCAATGTACAGGATCTAATCCAGGATTTCAGAGAGAAACTCTGATATAGAACCATGTTTGGATTTCTTCTCCCAGACTGTATCAATCTCAGCTCTAGGTTACAGATGAACTGGGACTGGAGACAGGCAGAGACAAAACAGACTGCAACACAGTGTCACCACTTGTGAAATGAGATCATACAATAAAAATAGATTCACATTGAGGGAAAGAGAAAAAAACCAAAACGTATGGGTGGGTCACAAAGGTACGCCAGGTTTCTTCTTACAGCCCATCCGAATACCTTACCGCGGCAATGGCCTTAGGGCCCTCGGCGACACTCTGGCTGAGAGCAAGGCCAGCTGTAGTTGGGCGGCTGGGCAGGGTGGCTGGCTGCTGCTTTCTCATGGATATCCCCATGGTATCCAGGCTCTGGCTGCGACCTCTGATCACCCGCTGAACAGAAGGGAGGCAGGGAAACAGACAAACACAGATACACATATAGACATGCACATGGTAGGGCAGTACGAAAACCACCACAGATCGGGTGGGAAGTTGTGACAGACCAACACCAGAACCACAGAAATCCTAACTCCTAAAAGGCAGCATCTTAGATATTACCTATTTTTGGTCCTAGCTTATTCACGAAGCTCACTGCCAGGGATAAACCCTTCCTCAAGTATATTCTTTACTTATAGAATCATAGAATCACAGGATGGTTTGGGTTGGAAGGGACCTCAAAGATCATCCAGTTCCAACCCCCCTGCCATGGGCAGGGACACCTTCCACTAGACCAGGATGCTCCAAGCCTCATCCAGCCTGGCCTTGGACACTTCCAGGGATGGGGCATCCACAGCTTCTCTGGGCAACCTGTCCCAGTGCTTCCCCACCCTCTCTGTGAAGAACTTCTTCCTGATATCCAATCTAAACCTCCCCACGATCAATTTAAACCCATTGCCCCTTGTCCTGTCACTACAGGCCCTTGTAAAAAGTCCCCCCCAGCTTCCTTGTAGCCCCTTCAGGTAGTACTTTCACTTCCCTTGTACCTTTGCAATAGATTCCCTACCAGTATCCCAGCATACTGTGTAAGACAGCATCAGCTGAAGCAGTCCTACCCAGTAGAGGCTACGAAATGCAAAATTAAACTCCTGTTGAAGACTGTAAGGTTTAGTCTTGCATGAACTTGAGTGCTGGTTCCAAGCGGAAAGCAGCTCTATCAGAATCTGCAGCATTTGAAAAATCATTTCCTGAGTTTACTCAGCCTTTTCCAAAGGTCATCTGCATACATGACATGCAAATCACAGCATCTCCTAGAAGCCAGAAAAGACTATTTTGGGATAATTATTGTGAGACATGGATAGGTATGAAATTCCTGATTCGCAGCAAAGCCAGGGTAGACTGACTGTACATAAAAATACACCTCACCAAACATCCCAGCTCTGACCAAAGCTATGTATATAGCTACCAAACCTGTAAGTGAATGGATTAGTTTCACAGCCCTTAACGACTCCAACCAGCCCACCACACAAAGCAGGTGGAGGTCTTGGGAAAAATGCCATTTACAATGTGTCTCTCTGTCCAGTCAGAGAACTTATTATATAAAAGAAGTGGTGAGGCACTTCCTACAGAAGTGGGGAAGGGGAAGTAGACAGAAAAGAGAAATAAGATTCTCTCTATAAAATCAGTTCAAAACTCAGTTTGACTGTTCGTACAAAAACTTTGCTCTCTCGTATCACCTTGATCCCTTTTAAAAGTAAGTTCTGTCACCTGAGCCTGTTTTATGAGAGAAAAAATAAAAGAAGGAAAAGTGTCATCTACACTGAAGGTAAATTAACTCTGGCTTTTTGAGCGTAAGTAACACATCATAGCTTTTCTAGACAGAGCACTCACAGATATGTTAGAAATTCCCTTGCAGTGGCTCCTGCAACTCTTTTTGTTACAATTAAAATGAAATTAAAGACATCTGCCGTAGGAACTGAAAGCTGCTTGCTACTAGTTATTACAATTCCTCTTGCAAACAATCCTTTTTCTGTAAGTCATGGAGTGAAACCCCATCTGACACTAGACACCAGCATGAAGCATAAAGAGTTTGACAGTACGGAATGCCACCCTGGACCATGCTATAGTTTTGTAGAAAGGAGCACAGGAAGGGGAAAAATGTCTTTTCTTGAGAGGTCTGATAAAGCACAGCTGAAGGTGCTCTAAAGAAAGGCTGCTGGATTGAAAGGCTTTTTTCTGTCTCACCCTAAGCACAGCTGATCAGCAGGGTCGATATTCCTTGAAGGGACACACAGTGAGCATGAGAAAAGTGTGTGCAACTGGGTAAGGACTCAATGGCTCACCTTGAAATTCTCAAGGAAGCCCCCACTGCCGTTCTCTATCTTGTTATCCTCCCCTATGGGCAATCCCATCATACTGCGGCTGCGAAGCTGCAGCTCCTCAAAAAGGCTCTCCAAGAGGGCACTCCGGGTTCTTTCCTGCATCAACATTGGGATGGAAAACACAGCTATTATTGGGAGTGGAGGGACTTTTTTTCTCCTGTTTTTTGCAATGTCTCACATCCTCCTTTAATTAAAAAAAAAAAAATTACCATCAAAATTCATTTACCAGTATGAAGTGGTTTTAGCTGTATAGTTATGCAATATATTATAGAATAGCCAGCCCTTTTAAAGTCTTTCTAAAGCAAGTCATAAGGCACATCAGGACTTTTTTACAGGTGATGAAACAGTGGCATGGATTGGCAGCAAGCAGCAGAGTCTGGAACAGAATTTTGGTACCCTGAACCAAAATCAGTGATATCATTATGCATCCTGTAGCACAATACTGAGTTTCAGCTAATACAGAATTTCCTCCAGCAAAATGTATACATCATATTCCCATTCTTATGTGAGGGTTACATCTTTACATTAGAATCTACCTGTTCATATTCTATCGTGCCTGCTGTGAAATACAAAGAAAGCATCACACAGCTGAGTATCATCACATTTCATTTACTTTTTAAAGAAATACAAAATTAGAAGTAGAAGAAAGTAAAAAAAAAATTGTATTTTCTTAATCTGGCAGTAATATAGTTTTATAGTTTTTAATGATAGCACCCAGGTAATACACGCACCTCTAATTTAGAAAACTTCTCAGCTCGATAGCAGCTGTACTCAGCATTGATGAGCTTGACCAGGAGGAATTCACGAAACTCTGCACTCTACAGGAACAAAAGGAAGACTAGGCTGGAGATGAAAACAGTAATAAAAATATCACAGGAGAGAAGCTCTGCCTTACTACTCTTTAGGCCTCCGAAGTCATCTCGCTAGACTGACAACACTGACTCAGAACACAAGGGTATGTACCACATTCCCTTGGCATTTAGCACTGGACCAGGGAAACAAACCTTTCTAAATATGGCTGGATTTGGCAGAGGGGGTCCAAAGAAGGGGACATCATCTCGGGCTGTGACTGAAACCTGAAACAACATAAGGGCAAAAAAATAAGTAGCGTAACACAAGTGAGACTGTCAAAGCCTTCAGACTACTCTGGTACATCTGACCCCTCCTGAATCATTTACATATCCAAAAGAGCTCTAACACGCTGTCCTGTGCGCCCATCTGTTTTCTGAACTCAGTGAATGGATGCGCTGATTTATCTCCTAGAAATTCAGTCAGCCAGATGTGCACACACAGCAAGAGCAACAAAAACATTGAACCAATTCTTTTTTAAAATAATAAATATTTTAAATAATAACCAGAGTATTTAAGAAAAAAAAAGATGCTTCTATTCAGCCAAGATTGACCTCCACTAGAAGAACCTTTGTCAACATGGTTGTACTGACCTATTTTTTTTGACAGAGAATCCTCTGTGGAGATACTCCCCTTAATGTGCAGCGTATCTCAGTGACACCATCTCTCTGAGTCACGTGGTAAACACAGAAAAGCACTTTCCCAGTAAGAGATAACTTAATCCATACTTCCTTTTTTTTAAAACATGCTCCTACCTGACATACTTATGCCAAAACCAGTAATTGTAATGCAGTCCAGTTTTTACATACTGCCCCTTGGTCCTTCACCACACTTACCTATAATTATACGTAGCTATCCTACCATAGAGCAATTAAGAATATCTCAGAGCTTTTATTTTTCCATCATGTTTGAGATGGAACAATATCATTATGTGCCATTTCATACAACAAGAAACAATGTCAGAACAACTTAACAGCAATTGCCTCAAAATAACACTCCACTGTAAATGTCACAGAGCTAAGTAGAGGCATGAGTTTAATGAGAGTAATAAGGAAAAGGGCCCTCAATTTAATTTGGATTTCTCACATTGTTGGCCAGCTCCACTAATTACAAGGTCTCCCCACCCTCCCAACAGATATCGACTAGTTAAAATCCTGTTCTGCATTTTTAATTTTCTGATTGCACAAATTGAATCAAAGAAATAAATGCCATTTAATATTCCAATTTAACCACTAGGCACTAAAGCTTACGTAAATGGAACAATGGATGGAAAGACACCTTCCCAAACTGCAATCTCTACTAGATTGCTCTCAAGACAAAATGAGTTAAAACTCCTTTGGAAAAAGCCTTTACAGAAAACTCTGCATTGGTTCTAGGGTCCTGACTGGGACTATTTGTTTTTCATTAAATAATACAGACAAACCTATTACACTGACAAAAACAATGGCATTGCAGACAGGCAAAAATGAGAACAATAGTAAGAAGAGACAAGTCAAATGGCAGGCTTCCCCACCTCCTTCTCTTGTCATTAAAACAATCCAGTGAATTTCTGCACCATATAAAACAGAGCAAAAGGAGAACTGGAACCTCACGCCTCCGATCAACATGAGGCCATCGTGTCACTACGGATCTGACTGCCCATAGCATAGAGAACAATGGAAGGTGGTTGTTTCAACCCTAGCAACCCCTTTGGTGGGAGGAAGGGAATGGGAATCTGTCCTAACTTTGATATTCTTGGTGAATTTGTAGACCTGCAAGGCACAAGGACTCATCAACACCAAATCAGAATTCCTATTTACGTACAACACACACCACTTTGATTACAATGTTTCTACAATGGAAAATCCATCACAGAATGCAAGCTTCTATATATTTTCTGCTCTCTCAGGATGACTGAAAGTTGAACATAAAGTTATACAGACATCCATACAGAGTGATGTGACAAAGAGCTGTCCCCAAAGGCTGTAGATAGGGAATCTGTGTTCTAGCAGGGCTTCTTTCAAGTGGGGAGCCCTAACAGGTAGAACTTCCCTGCCAGATGGGCATGAGTTCTGGGATACTCCAAAGCAGATGTGGCTGGTTCAGATTCCACAAATTAGGCCAACCAGCTTTATATGATCTGCAGTCTCAGGCAGTGCAAACTCCCATTGTTTGAACGGTGTGCAACTTCTGCTGTGCGGAATGAGCAATACAGCCACGGCTGTCAGTCAGGTGAGTTTTACCCGACTTACATAATGCAAGCAAGACATCCCCTAAAATGGGATCAATTGCACATCATGCTCTCTGATGTTGTCATGGTTTAACTCCGG